TGAAAAACTTTGAGTCGCTCAGCGCGCGATGAAACGGAGCAAAATGTAGAAATTCGCTAAAGAACCAAAGTTACCGACATCGCTGTAAAATCTGCAGGCTAAAGTGGCAATGGGCAGGTCATGTCACTCGAACGGACGCCCAATGTTCCGAAAAGTACTACTCGTAGTGTGGCGACCAAGGAATTACGTTTTCATAAATATATTGGCATCAAATGTCATTCGGTACCTATTTTAATTTATAGAGAATAAAGATTGATCAAATATCCCTCTTCTGCAGAACAAAGACTGAATTCCAGCTTTCCCCATCGAATAGCTAAAATAAACTAGCCGTTAGCCGTTAAATATCGTGAAACCAGAATTTGTGAAGCAGACTACTTTCTAATTAACGATAAAAATACAAAATTCGTTTGATTTACTTTGCAAAACGTTAAATGTAATAAAAAAACGCCACCGACGACGTTGGCACTACTTATTTTACTTCAGCTTTTATAGCATCATGTCGTATCGTACCTATGGCATTCTGTTCTGGGGACAGGCTGCCGACATTGAGTCTATCTCTATCTTAAAAAGTTCCTGCCTTTACAGCTATTTCTTACTTCGTTCGTCGGGAATATCTCAGAGAAAAGGATAAACGCGGGGTTAAGTATTGTGGTAGTAAGTAAAAAATAAAACTGGTGACTAAACAGACCAAGGCACTTATAGACCTTTATCGTTGGCAGCAAAAGTGGCTAAACATCTCCACGGGTTTCGGCCTGGGCTTTCTACTGAAAGCTCCATCCTGAGTCTTACGCACACTGTCCAGTAAGTACTACCCACGGAGGGGTATGTCTTTATGTTCATGTTTCCTCCACCTGTCAAAAGCATTTGATGTAGTGTCTTATGACCTGCTACGCACGCCGGCTCTGATGGTAGGTACGCTCCGTCGACAGAGTGCCTTCCACTGCCATTTGGAAGGTTCTGCTGTGCAGGATGGTGGCCACTATTTCGACTAGTTATCGAGGAGTAGTGGATGTGGCCAGCTTGCTGAACGGCCATGCCAGGCGCGGTCCAATCCCTTCTCCACCTCGAGTAATACTGCCGCGGCGATTAGCTCCCCGGCAGCAGCGTATTCTTTTCCTGTTTGGGCAGCATGATCACTCTGCCGAGGTTCCGCTTTGAAAGGAAGTGTTGTATTGGAAAAAGGTCGAGATCCCTCCGCGTACCGCGCGAGCCGTGTTCGTCGGCGCGTCGCCATTGATCAAACTAAAATCGAATGGTGTGCGATATGGTCTAGATGTACATAATAATCTATACCTACATATAATTAATCTGAGAGAGTAGAGAGGTAAATTCTGTACATTAAACATATTTTCAAAATAACTATCAGGGGGTGATATAAGTGATCGATACTGATGCAAAAAATGCAATCAGTAAAATTTTTGTCTGTCTGTATGTTCTTTATAGAAACAAAAACTACTCGACGGATTTTAACAAAACTTTCTACAATTATTCTTTATACCTACTCCTGGGCAGGTTATATGATACTTTTCATTACGCTGCCAATAAATGGAGCAGAGCAGTGAAGGGAAATGTTGGGAAAACGGGAGTAGCTCCTCCCTTTTTTAAGTTTCCGTCGCGTGTGTAGCCTTAATGGTTAAAGTTACATAGAAATAATCTACAAAAAAAAATGTTTACAGCATATTTCTATCTTTTATGGTTAGCACATGTAACTCCTGATAGCTTAGCAGTTCGGATAATAAGCCATCGCGCTGTCGCACGTGGACACTGAATCATGCTATAAGGATTATTTTTGTGTAACGGTTGCCGCGCTCGACGCGACGCGGTTTAAAATAAAATAGGTTTTATGAAATATTAATAATACTTACCTATTAGTTAGATCCGTACCATTCTATCTATGGACGGACGGACTGATAGCGGAAACTTAGTAGGTAATAATAATTTACATAACCATTGGAGATGTACCCATAAAAATGAGAGTGAGAGAATTAATAACAAATTTTATGTATATTTCGATTTATTTTCTATTGCTGCTAAGGCTGCTTTTTATCAACACAGCACGCGGGCGAAGCCGCTGGCAGAAGCTAGTATGTAAATATAGTTAAAAGTAGCGTAAGCAAGTGAAGTAAATCATCCTAAAATACACATCTCAACGGATTATTCTTAACAAGATGAAACTTCTCATAGGACACCTAGGCCCTCCCACCTAGTTTCTACATCTTCATAGTTGAGTTGGGCTGAGCTGGTGTACGTGTCATGATCATAAACGGGCGCCGTCAATTGGGACTGGTCTTTTTTTGTCAGGGGAAAATTATCAAATGACCTCTCCCGACCAGGGAAGGAGAGAGAGAATGTCAGACTCTTACTGACTAAAAACCTCCCCGTTCCTTCTCCTGCTCTGGGCCGAGGTCGCGGTGAAACATCAGCCCTATAGGGCCCCGTCTGTGGTGGTCTATTGGCTCTTTGAGGCACGCGCGGAGCGCTACGCGCCTTCCGCTCGGGTCTGGATCTCTGGTCGCGTCCGCAGACCCGCGCTTACGGTGGCCGGAGATCGTCTCTCCCCCAACGCCCGGAACGTCGCCTACTGCGGTGGCTGGGGCGCGAGGAGGATAGTTCCCTCACACGCTCCGCCCCCTCCTTTGCGAGCATCACTGCTTCGCAGAAAGAGGAGACGACTTCCCAGTTCCTCTCGCTACGAACCATGGCCTCGACTAAGGCCGAGCGCGAGAGGTCGCTGCCGCCGATCACTTGCCCGAGGACACGGTGGTGCTCAGCCCAAGCAGGGCACACCGCCACAGTGAGGACACTCGGGCGATTCCTCCCGCCCGATCCGAAACAGGCACCTACCGAAGCTACCGTGCCCGGTAAGCACCTGTGTTAGGCGGAAGGTGAGGACGCCGTGGGTTCTCTCAAGCCACTCCTCAAAGAGGGGCCTTACCGCTGCAATTGGGACTGGTCTAAGCTGTCTAAAATATCCTGGAAGCGATTTTCTTTTTCTGATTCTTTAGTTTAATTAATTGTTACACTGTTCTCATATAACGGACCCCACTTATTAATTTACGAAATAATTTGATTATGAAATTCGTTGAAAAAAGTTATTATTAAGTTTCTTGCTTGCTTTTCTTCATAGAAATCTATATAAATTTTACTAAAAATAAAACGTAAGTAATCGGTAGGTAGGTAAGAATCTTACTGTCAGGTGCTTGGACCTGAGCTCAGCCCATAGAATATTAATTAATTCCTCAATGGATCTGATGCATCAATGTCAACCTATTCTGTAGTCTTTGATGTCAACTTTTGACAGTGACATTAAAAGATAACCTAAAAAAACGAGTATAGAATTTTTGTATTTTGCTGCAAATATTTGCGATTCACATCTGCTATCAAAATGATAAAAAGTCTGAGTAGAGCTCCAAACATAGTATCAAACTTAAAAACTAAAGTAAAGTTTACTGATAGATTTCAAGGCACCATAATCAAGAAATGGGCTGATTACTGGAAGAACCTATTTGCAGACTATCGTCAAATGCTACAAGATTTAAGGACCGATATTCAAGAAGACCCTATAAAAGCAATGAAATGGACAGCAGGCTTGGGGACCTTGTATCTGTTATCCTTGAACAATCCTAATGAACTCGATTTTAAAGACTGTCTTAAGCGTGTAAACAACGAGACTGTAATGATAAGCCCTGATTGTCTGAATCCCAAAACTGTGCAGCACTTATCGTATCTGGACACATGCTACAACCAGGGCACGATTCATTATATACGTTTAGGAGTTTTTTCACTCATGTACACATCAGAGCTCAATGAATCATGTGATTTGTACAAAGCAAAGTGTTCCTACTTACAACCAAGCTTTGTTAGTTTACCTTCAAGGATTATTGATGTAGGAATAATGGGTCAATGGTGGAACCTTTACATAAAAACTTATAACTATGATGTTAATTAATAAATGTATCATTTAATCTTTATTAGTATCATATTGTAGATTTATTGGTTTTAGATTGTTACTACAATTTCAAATGTAATATACTGTTTTATTGTAAATATGTTATTGTATTTATTAGCTTAAACACTTTTGTTTTTGTTTACAACACCAAACTTTGAAACAATTCATTTATTTTTGAAGAGATCTTTTTATTTTTTTGTTATATAATTTTTAGTCGTTTAATATATCAATACAAGTGTATTGAGATATTAAACCACTATCATTATGCATTTAAAATAAAAAAAAATAGTGAACCATGATAAGTGACAAAAAGAGTCAATAAATACCAGGTTTCATGATATCATATTGCTATCTACTTGTGACTTCTACATGGAATCTACATTTCTCTCAAGTTGGTATTTTATCCTGTAGATAAATGGAGATAAAAGTGTGATATGCTATATCACATTCTCAAAATGTACTTATTCATTCATCAAACCCCAAGCAAAAACTGCAACTCAAAGAAATAGTGATATCTGTTCAATACTCATTATGTTAGTATTGAATGTTAATAATCAAATTACAGGAATAAAGGTTGTTTAAAATGACATCTCTTTTTACGTGATAGACCAGCAAACACTTGTATTACAGTGCCACACTTGTCAAACACCTATAACACCAGAGGAGTTATTGAGTGCATTGCTGGACTTTTGGGGATTAGGGTTTTGGAGATTTAGGGATTGAAGGAGAAGAAGTAGGAAGCAATATAATTATTATTGTTATATTGACAGGTACCTAGTCTAGATCTTTTCTTTCTAAATGGCTAAATTTAATTAGCATTAACACTTTTTTTCATACTGAAATGTGTTATTACCATTCTATATCCCATCAGTGAAATAGATTTTATCATTAAGATTTTTACAGAAATAAGTGACTTTCCATGTCATTTATTAATAGATGAGCAAATTAAGCAATTCATGCTGGATAAAACTAAAGTAGGTACCATCTGATTTACAATGACTTGATAAAAATGATCAATCTGAACATGAAAAGTAGTTGGTAGTAATGGTGGTTTAAGGAGATAATGAAATTATACTAGTGTTGAAGAATTTTTTGTATTTCAGTTCTTACTAATATGTTAAAACAATTAATGTATAAAATCTATTAAGTTTCACAAATCATCTCATGCTTTAAGTTTTTGACCAAAATGCAATTCTAAAATCATAAATCACCACTAAGTGAACCCTGCAAATATACATAATATATATTCTTCTACAAACATTACAACACTGAACACATTCAGAAATTAGTGATGAAAACAAATCAACAAACAAAACCTTTTCACTTTCTTGTTACTAAAGGTTAAATAATGTATTGAATTAACATTACTGAAGTTAACACATGTTTAATTATAGCTTACATGTTTTTATGTTAGGTAAAGATAATTAAAAATAATCTAATTTTAACAAAATAAAAACGTATAGTATATACGCTTCAACACAGCGACAGTTCTTGGATATGGAATAAAAACATGTAAGCTTTGATGAATAAAGTGACAGAAAACTGAAACTCAACAAACTAAATAGGCAGACAATTTTTATTTTGCTACTATAGCAATCATAACTTAGACTGAATCAATTATTAACAAAAAGGTTTCTTTAATGCCCAGTGAATTAAAAAGAGTTATTGGCTAGACTATGTTCTAATAAAGTCTTAAAAAATATAAATAGCAATTGATTTTCCAACTGTGATTGAAACAAAAACCATTCTTTAATAAAAAACAAATAAAAATCGCCACTTTGATTAGGTTTTAAGTTCTTATAAAGTGAAAATGTCATAAAGTTACAGTAATGTAATAAAAACACCAGAAAAAGTTTCAAAACTCAAAACTTCCTGTCTAAATTAAGAGCAAAAAAAACTCGCAACACCTCTTTAGTTTACTGTTTCTATACTTCATAATAACAACTTATCAACAAGTAATCCAGCCCAATATGATCATCTATGACAAAAGCTTCAATGAATTGAACTTAATTAAAATAAAACACAAAGGTACATACATTGCACAACTCATTTTTGATTAGCCATAATAAAAAGAAAACGATAAGTTCATGACTAAATCATATTAAGCTGGTAAAGAAATATGGACACATAAATTTTCTACAAATCACAATATCACATTTCAAATAGTTGATTGCCAGTGGTTTTACTATAATTATTTAATGAATTTAGTTGGTACTACATTTAATTCCTATAAAGTAAAGATAACAGTGATTTTACTTGTTTTCATGCGTAGGATTAATACTTGATGAATTATTCAAAGAAAATCACAATATAACTTCTTTTGAATGTAATTGATACTTTAACAAAATAAAAAAAACCAAGTCAAATCTTTCCTCTCAATTCAAGCCGTACATAAATAAGCGACAAACACTCAAACAATTATTTCAATTTTAACTTGAATTTATCCACTGCAGTATGTATTACCAATTATTTGAGATAATTGATAAAATCAGAAATTAATAATTTATTTATATCACAATATTTCAGACTTTGCTTATAGTTATAATACAATACATCAAAAGGTTTATATATAAATAAACATTAATTGCTACAGCTAGATGAGATGTGGGACTTTCGTGTTGCGAAAATAATGTTTCATCACAGATAATATTATAGCAAAGTCTTACAATCATAGATTTCAGTTACAACCGCCTAATCAAGTGTTAACTATTTATTGAATAACTGCGATTTTTAAGCACTCCTATTATGGTAATTTCAAGGGGTGATTAGCATCATAACTATATATTTCTACATTAAGCCATACATTAGTTAATTTGATGGCTAAATGGCTATTTCAATACAAATATGCTATATAAGAACAAGGTTATACATTTTTTTATTAATACAGTATTGCTTTAAAGGCACAAAATTGTTTAAATTATCATTTATGCATGACTAGGTTTATTGTATGGAAGGGACAGCAACTTAATAGATTTCGTTATTGTTTTTAAACATACATATTCAGTCACATGTTCATAAAACAAACAACTAAATGATTTTCAGATCAATACTATGAATTTTGTTTTGTGTTTTATATCAAAAGTTTTGTTTCAACTATGCCGTTATAAAGTTTAATAAAAAATGATGTTGCCAACCAACCAATTTAGGGGAATGGCTTAGATGATGGCTCAAATGATGAAATAATGTTATTCGTTGATTATATTCCTTCCCAATGAACTTAGCACAAGCATTGTCATACTATCTAATTACTATTGACTATGAGTTAGAAACTTGACTATTAACTAGTGCCCAATATGCAAAGTGGACTATATTTTTGGCAAATTATACAGAAAACAAGTGTATGATTTTTTTCACCTCTTAAAATTAAAACCATATTTTAAAATAAGCCAATAAGTGCTTCAAATAAAAAGATGCTCCCTTTCACGTAACGAATAACAAAGTCCCCAAAACATGCAAAATTAAAACTGAAAAATAAAATCGGCCTTAAATAAAACCTTGATTTACTTTTTACAAGAAATATAAACAAATCACTTGAACAAAACAACTAATTCTAAAACATTTTTCTTCAATAAATGTATGTTGTAACATAATCATGTTGGATTGCATTGCATCCCTGGTTTGCAATGTGTCGGCTGGTAAGGGTTGCGATATGGCGTGAGAACAGCTACGTAGACCGGCCACGGAGCGTCTCCTACAGCAGAATAATGTCGGGCGCGTGCAGCTCAAAGTGGTACATTCCATCGAAGTCGTCCAAGTCTTCGTCCAGGAACAGATCCTCATCTATAACGTATCATTACTAGAACATTGAGCACTTGACACAACAAACACTGCACCACGTGAACTTGACTCTCGGGAGCACACACTACCACCAGGCTTGCTACATCAGTCAGATGCGCCGCCGTCATCTTCGTACCCTAGACATTTCATAAATGCAGTTAATATAACGACTTGCTATTAAGATGACTGTGCCTTTTAAACTATTTTAATTCGAATGTAATCGGCTAATGGGATAAAGTGTGCTACCAAGAATCATAAAATAAAATCAAGTAGGTACATAGAGTATACTGCGGCACAAACTCGAGAGTTTTGCCAATAAGGTAGTTATTTGTCTAAATTACTCACCTGGTCCAAAAAAGTCGTCGAAGTCGTCATTTTCGTATAGATCGCCCAGGGAATCATCGGAGCTGTGTTCGTACATAGTGTCAACGAAATCAGGCCGCAAATGTGGGTTACTGCGGTCGTCCGCAACGTCCACAGTCAGCAGTTTGTGCGTGGGACAGTCTTGCTGCAGCTAAAGATAATTTTATATCAATAAATAACAATCGATTCGCATATCCTTATACAGATTAGTAAGCAAGACCGCGGACTGGTAGAGCAACATAAGACGAGCAATCAGTATGACGGCGTACGTACGTCGAGCGACGAGGCGGCGGTGCCCGCCAGACGCAGCGTCAGCGCGCGCGGCCGCAGCGCCAGCGCGCGCGTCGCCGCCCGCACCACCTCCTCCGACACTCCGTCGCACCCACACACGTCCAGCTCCTGCACACCACAACATTACTAGTCTGCACTCAACACTATTGCACCGTTTTGTGCAATCCAAATCATTGAAATGTAATATAAAATGTAACCTGCAACATGGGACAGGCGGCGAGGCAGGCGGCCAGCGAGGCGGAGGAGAGCGCGGACATGCCGCGCGCCGTGAGCCGCTGCAGACGCGGCAGCGCGGCGGCGGCGCGCAGGCCGGCGTCCGTCAGCGCCGCCAGGTACGACACGTCCAGCGAGCTCAGCGCGCGGCATCCGCGGCACAGCGCCCACACGCCCTCGTCGCTCACTCCTGCCGACATCTCTACGCTACACACACTGCACGCTCGCCCAACCAGCCGGCTCCAGTGTCCTCAGCCGAACTTTATAATGTGTCCCCGACATCAATCACTAATAAGATTAGTGATGATCCCCGACAAACTTTCCGAAGTATATTAAAATGTAAATGTAATGAGCGAAATACCTAATGATTTTGAATGGTCGTCTAGATATTTGTGATAATATTAATAATGAACGGACTGTACCTGGATGAGGGAAGATCTTGCGAGAATTACAGCTGGAGATGTTGAGGGTTTCCAGCTTGGGACAACATTGAGCGACTCGTTTTAGTACTGTGTTGGTGACGTATATGTTGCGACTCAGGTTCAGGCTCTTCAGTTCAGTTAGGTTGCCGATGGCATCGCAGAAAGCATCGTTGCATTGTGGAGAGAAACAGGAATCTACTGATATATACTCGCTCAACGAAAGCTCTTCAAGTAATGGAAGTTTGTTAAGAATCATTGGTATTATTTTCCACATTGTGTGCGGACAGACATCTAACTTGAGACAGGTTAATCTTGGAAGTGTGTCTATTGCAGCACAAAGTACTGTGCCCTGCAGGCTGTAGCAGTTGTAGAATGCGAGAGAGTTTAGTTTTTGGGGATTTGATCCGGTGAGGAACAACCCTGTCACATGAGTGTTATTTGCGACCGTTAAGCTTTCTATACACGATTCACTTTTGACTAGATGTACTAAACTCGAATCTGTTAGCTGCAAAAAAAGAAAAATGTTTAATCAACTGAGGAACTGGGAACACTTTTATGAATTTATTTATAGTTTAATATTCAGTCATGGTACATGTGACTCCAAACATAATTGGGTAGTTTCCTAGGTCAAAAATAAATTAATTTGACGTTTCAATAAAAAATACAGAAAAATAATTATAATTTTATTCATTGAATTGAATTATTGAATTTGACTAGTCGAAACTACCGTATTGAAGTATACGAATTTTCTTGTCATGTGTTACAGGTATTTTATTTTATTTTATTGAAAATACTTCGAAGCTGTATTGAAGTTGTGACGTCAAAAGTATCTTAAAGGTATATTCCACCTTAACGTAGACTATAGAGTACACAGTAATATTGAAATCCGTACCTTATTGCATGACACAAACGATAAAGTTTTTAATTGTTTACACCCATAGATGAGTGGATTCCAATTCCGCGTGTGCATTCCGACAATCTGAAACAAGTGTTGCAATATGAGGAAATATAGAAAGGCTCGTACATACCCATAATTATAATAAGAATAACAGTCGCTGAACCCGCGACGGTAGATATATATGTTACAGTCAAAACCCTTTTTGCAGTCATCATTCAAAACTAAAAAACCAAGAACATTGATCAAAAATGCTTTTAATTAATTTTTGCGGTCAAAATTGGTATTGACTGGTTATGAGTTTTGACTGTAACATACTTATAATATTTTGATAGACAACCAAAGCACAGTATAAATATCATACAGTATTTTAACTCGGCAGCTTGAAAGAAATAAATACCTACAGCCGCGCGGTACGTAAACATGCGTTAGGGCTGCTCGTCTCCAGTATTTTAATTACCTTTGTCTACTTTCTGTTTCCATTTAGTTTTGTGATTGTAAATATCTTTTTTTTATATAAACAAATAAAGTGCTTTAAAAATAAACAAACAAAATTTCTTTGGCCACTAATGCCGAACTGAACAGCTGACTACAAATGTTCTAAAATCACAACCCTCAAACATCAAAATATTACATGAGTCTAGCTGTTTTATTGTTGTTATTAAATATTTTCTAGTATTATTCATAAACGCAGATAATAAACAAATATTATTAATAATAAAATACCACACTCTCTACTTTGAATTAAACAAACTAACAAACCATACATGAACCGTTTTAACACAAGCGTAAGTAGGTAGGTAAATAACGTATGACGTCATGATTCATTCAGAACCAGAACCGCCTATAACTACCTATTTCACTCGTCTCAATAACTTTATTCATATTATTTATAAATTCAAACATCTGTTTTCGTGAGATAACTGGAAATAATGATCCATAAAGACACACATTATGTACCTACCTAGGCTACTAGTAAGTAAAATTATTTTATAGTCTTACCTTTCAGAGTTTCCAGGTAATTTAAAAAAAAAATAAAACTTATGTCTGGATGCGTTATTGACGAATTCATGCAACCAAACATAATAACAGCACAATATTTCCTATTCGTCATATTAAATAATGTACTTGAGCTGATTTCTAAATAAAAGACAAAACACCGTCCGTTCGTCACTGCGGTACAGCCGCGTCTATCTGCGTCCCGAGCGCGTCCCGACATCGGGCGCGTAGGTATAGTTCGCGTTTCGGCCGTTTCTATGAAGTTGAAATACTTGTAGATATTATTACCTTGACCAAAGTATTGTAAATTGTATTATAATTGAACCAAATAGACCGTCTGTCATATGTTAACGAGATAAACGAGTGAGGGGAAGGCTAAGGCTATGTTTTCATGGGTTCGTGGGGAAAGGAATTAGAATGATGAGGGTAAATACCTTGAGTTCCTCGAGGTTGGGGCAGAACTTGCCGACGATGTGCGCGGTGCGGTCGTTGAGCGCGGACCAGTGGTGGTCGATGTGCAGACGGGCGAGGCCGGCGCCCAGGCGCTGCACGATGCGCCGCAGCACGGCCGTCGTCAGCATCACCGGCACGTGCTGCCACCACGACGTCTTGAACATGCGGATGCCTGCAACCAAGACACTACTAGCTCTTGTCTGCCTCTACTTACGATACTCATTTTTACTACATACATTAATCATAACCTAACTTTGTTTTCCTATACAAAACCGGCTACTTATTAACGAGTCAACTTCAAATCTTTCTTCGAATTGTTAAAGACAAATATATACTTATATTGATAACTAGCTTCTGCCAGCGACTTTGTCCGCGTGGAATAGTAAGGTCTGGCAGATTTTTGGTTTTACCCACATTGTTCCCGACCTCGTAGGATTTTCGGGAAGTTCTCCCTTTCTTCCTTTCTTTATTCCTTAAACTATCCTTTCTCGAGTTTCAAACTGTGTCTGTACAAAATTTTCTCCAAAACAGTTCAGTAGTTTAGGTGTGAAGGAGAAACAGACAGATACACAGAATTACTTACACATTGATGGCATTGGATTTGAAATAAAATAAACATAGATTTTAGCCGTCTTTAGATTAGCCTGAACAAACGTACAGACAAAAAGACAAAAGTTGTAGAAATCATTGTTTTGGGTTCTATTGCGTATATAAAGTTCCGCAAGTAATTTTTTTCTTATTTACAGACACCGACCCTTTACTGTTTAAATCTGTATTGATATTGATTATTATCTTGAAACAGTGCGTCGAAAGGTGGACGCATGTACCTATACTGATTTCTATCATTCTTTTTTATTGAATAGATAATAATGTAAACTTTTTGAATAAGGGATAAGTGAGAGTGTTATAAACTGAGCTATCAGGAGTTACACGTGTTATTGTGAGTCAACCATAAAAGATAGACATATACTGTTGCAGGATATTTTGTAGATAATTTTATGTTGAACATTTCCGTGATACATGATTTCTGTAACTTTAACCGTTAAGGCTGCATACACGACGGAAGCTAAAAAAGTGGAGTAACTTCTACCGTTTTCTTAACATTTCCCTTCACTGTTCTGGTCCTATTAATTGTAGCGTGATGAAAAGTATACTATGAACAGCCCAGGAATATAAAGAATCATTGTACCAAGTTTCGTAAAAATCTGTAGAGTACTTTTTATATCTATAAGGAACATACAGACAGACAGACAGACAGACAAAAAATTTACTGATTGCATTTTCGGCATCAGTATCGATCACTTATCACCCCCTGGTAGTTATTTTAAAAATATATTCAATGTATAGAATTAGCCTGTCTACAGATTTATTATAAGTATAGAATAGATAATCATGCATGTTTCCTTAATTATTGTAAAACTGAAGCAATATTAATTGAAATTGTAAATTCCTGTAGTTTTTTAAATTTTTTGTTCTTATGTGCCTGTAGCTAAATTATTTATTTGATAAAAATTACTTATAATATGACAAATGGTGTGTTACATAGCATCCAACATTGCATAACATTATTATTTTACCTTGTAAGTACTCTCGGACCATATGTTGCCAAGTTTTACTGACTCGTTCTGATCTAATGAGGTCTCTGATGGGAACATACGACATGATGTGTGCTAAACAATCCCTGTTCAAAACATCCAGTATAGTGTAGTTTGGCTCTGTATCACTGTCCTTAGCATCTTCCTTTGCTTCAGTGTTGTCCTTTAACAAAATGAATAATAATTATTATTGTAAACATTTACCATGGAATTTCAACCTCACTATTCTCCATATGAAATTCCAATGTCAACAAATAAAAAAATACCAATAATATCTTACCATTGGTGCATCTGTAGCACTGGTTGTTGCTTCCGCTGCATCCCCACTTTCAGAAACCCATTCAGAGTTACTGACTTCTGTAAATATTTTAATTTACTATATATAAAGCAATAATTAGTTATACTGTTTCTTTACAGAAATAAAATTAACTTCATTAGGAAAGATATCATATAAGAAACTTTTAAATATCAAGTACATTAATACATATAAGACTTTTACATACCTAGAGGCTGAACAGAGTTCTCTGTAGTGGCAGCATGTGCTTCATTACGACGCTGACCGCGGGGCTTCCAGCGTCCTCTGCCATCAGCATCTTCGGCAGGCTGGTGCCAACTGTCTGCAGGTGATATTCTCAGATTACGACCTCTCAGTGTCTTCTCATGACCTGGGGCTTGCAGCGCTCTGGAAATACATGAGTAAACAAGAATAAAAAAGTTCAGACACACACAGTATTATTATTTTTGTTCAAACTGCACACTATAACATTAGAGTGGAAAAATTATGAATTAGCATAAGCCACTTTTCAATATTACTTACTTATGTGCATCAGCTGGATTGCTGTAGGTGACAAATGCATATGTGGGTGTTGGCGTTTTATTAGGACCTTTGTCTCCCATCCTTAACCAACAGCTCTTGATGAAACCATAAGGAGCAAATACTCCAAATAACTCCGATCTTGTAGTCTAAAAAAGTATTATGTTATAAACAACAACAACATATGAACACATTCCATTTTTAAGTTAAGGCTTGTAAATGTTACCCAAAGGATCCCTTGGAGATTCCTTTAGTCATACCCTAAATCAGGATTCTTTATGTCAAATGGCAATGTAAATGACCTTTTAAAAAGCAGAGTACCTACATGATTATAGATCTCCTCATGCTTATGAAGGATGCGGTTATAAAGCTATATGTAATTGGTTCATTCGACAAACCTGGCCTTTTTAATGCATGGTAGACAAATAGTTTATACAGGGACAAGAGATGTTTCCTTAAGTGTCTACATTTTAGTGTTACCAAGTGTATAAAACCCAAACATACACATATATCACTACAACACATCTTGCCAGTTGCCAGATACATGCAAACACCTGCACCAACTAGCACAATAAATTAAACTATACTATCAACTCTTTTCTGCTTATATACTTTAGCCTAGTAACTGTTGTGTACGCCTCATCTTACCAAACCAACTTGGGAGCTTAGCCACCCACAAACAAGTCCCTGTTGCCAAAGCCTTTGTTACTTTTATAGTCATGGCTCCAACAAAGGACATTTATAAATTAAAGACAATAACGCATAATACATACCTTTGGAGGTAAATTTGAAACATACAGCTTCCTAATAGGTATTCCATCTTCAGTATGAGTAGGAACATACTTCAAGCCATAAGGAGTGACATCATAGTTTGAATTGATGGCATCTGGAAATGTTAACACTAATATTTGCTCAGACACGTGTTTTAGAACGAATTAACAAAACTATTATTACTACATAGCTTCGGGTCCGTATTGAATGCCTCTATTTACTAATACCAATCAGGTGACTCTAACATTGACAAAACTACCACGGAAAAATCCTTTTATACAAATTGACAAACATGCATCAAGTCGGCAGAATCTATGATTTAACGGGAGTAAAAAATCCTGCACTCCCTGGGAAAATCTATTAATGATAAAACGACGTCTGGTGCAAATAAATACTTACACAGTTCTCGACGAACAACGTGAAGTATATCCGGATTGAGAAATCTCTCCTCTTCTTCGTAAAACATGGTGTTATCTCACTATTTCGGGTGGCAAATGTAACTTCGTTGTTACCAACGATTAATAATCAAACATGATATCATCAAAATATAAGAAACACAGAAAATTTAGAGTAAACACTCAAAATAAAATTGATAATTGCAAACGCAGTCAACATACAACGGCCGTGTTATTTTTTAACAAACAATGTTGCCATTTTTGATGCTTTAGATAAAAACAAAAAAATTATGGCATTTTGAAGCGCATGCATTGCAACACTGAACAAAACAGTATAGAATATTATTTAATTTATAATTTAATGAAAATTCTGTTTGAATTTAACAGTCCACTTAGGGCCTTATCTGTCGTCTTGTGTACACATTTTTTATACCTTCGGGAGTCTTAGTTAATTATAGACTAAAAAGCATAAGGGTAAGGAAACAATTATATAATGATGCCTTTTATCATTAAGTGATCGTATAAAGTACAGTTTATTGATGTCAATCGCGCGCGCAGTCAGCAGTTTTACACTGACTCACACATTCAGTTTTAATGTTAACATTATTGTAAAGTTATTATAGATAGGTGACCAACCAAGCCACGTTTATTGACCATTGCCCTTTTCACCAAGATAAAAAATTTTTACCATACGAGTTTTTAATATTTATTTGTTGGATTTAAGGCCAACAGTGATATTGTGACACTCGTTTAACTTTTATTGGTTTCTTGGAATATAGAGAAATTAAATCTCCACTTTTCTGTGGTTTGGAAAGATTAAGATGGTTTGTTGGCTTAAAGAACTCGTATCCAGGCCATAAACTCCAAAAAAAAAAGAGATGGTTTGTCATTGTTGTCAGAATCTACGTTGTCAACGTGTTGTCTGTCAGTGTAAACCATTGACATAGGAAATATATGGACTTGAAATACCTACGAAAAAAAGGTGCCTACCTACAATCCAAATTGTCGCATAAGATGGCTGCCGTTGCTAGGGTTGTGCCGACTAAGTATTTAACGAGTATCGATACAATTTGAGTAAAAGTTCTACGTAGGTATAGTTTTAGGGATTAGCCAGCTGATTAACGGTATTTTTTATGGGAAATCATCTAATGTCATCTCCGGCCTTTTTCGGGACAGACCGTTACTGACTAAAATTAACTCCTGTTCCTACTTTGCCGTCGGCCTAGCTAGAGCCCGGAACCCGGGGTTAACTTGGTCTCTTGATTGGCTAATGATTTTCTCAAGTCGAATTTGTATTCATATAATTCTACGTAAAGCGTCTTTTAAAAAAATAGTTATAGTGTTTATGAACAGCGTTTAATGGAATGGTGAAATAGAAAAAGATAGTGTTTGTTAAATGTTTGCTTGTTTATCTTTATATAATAATATGTGGAAAACCTGTGGGTATTTGTGAAGTGCACGCGCACAATTTCGGCGCGTCTGATTAAGCGATGATATCTTCGAAACTACGTTACCACAAAATAGATATGTAGTGAAGTCAATCTTATTGTATGTATCTCACTTTTTATTATTACGCTTGGTGGTCGCACTGGGATCGTCGCCAACGTCGCTCTGTCAATCGCGCCCGTATAATTATAAAACATGATAATTTGAACTTCTACTTATGTAACTAAAACCAATACCAAAATACTGACGTCTTACTTTAGCGTTACATAAAACTGTGGAAACATCCATTGTTAAAATAGATTATTTAGTATAATATATGTTGAATTTTAAATGGGAGATTATATCGATACTTTTGTGAAATGGTACGTAACTATGCCATATTGACATATTATTGTAAACAACAATTTTTTACTAAAACCGTCTCACAGACAGAAATAAAAGTAAATATATATACTTTGGCAATAGATTAAAGTATCCGTGACATTTTTTTCTATCTATGTGGATTATTCTAAGTAATATTTGATGAAAACTGTTTACTAACCTATACAAAGACAATTGAGGTTGATTTTCGTTCTTTTTTGCACCACACTGCACAATACAACACACAGGCATATTGTTTTTTTGTTTCACTATATATATTTGAAGTTTAAAAAAATGGTTCTTTGTAATTTACTGAAAAACCGCAATAATTTAAAACATAAACAACCGTTTGACAGCACAACTACCATGAAACTCAGGTACTCTGAGCGCTTAAGATGGCGGACATGGCACTTACCTACAACTTTGCTAATGTCAAAATGATTTGTTTCCATATTAAGCAACAACTTAAATATTGTTGTCTCTTTTGTCTAATACAATTATTGCCTTAGAAAGAGTGAGAAAAAATGATATTTCATAGTTTGTTTCATATTTCCCTCATATTTGTATAAGCATGTATACTTCTATAGTAACACGGCGCCTCTATATATTTTCTATCTCAATGGTGTAAACTATAACAACTTGAAAGGAGATTAGTTTGTCCAAAGAGAAAAGCACTACGTTTGTCTTATGACGACAGCAAAGAGTAACGTAACTTTTGAGTCGACTGACCACTGACGTTGTATTCATTATTCGATTTCGATTCGACGTTACAAAAATAATTATTTAAAAAATTATTGTTATATACTTGAGCAACAGGTACACAATCATTAAAAATATATAATCAAATAAATATAACTTAAGACATGCAAGATGTCAGAAAAAGAGCCAAAAGCAATGATAAAAATGTGTCTGAAAGAAACATTCCAAAAAATAATGAAAGTAATGTAAATAACAACAAAATACCGTGAGTAACTAATATTTATAAATTGATAGAAGACATACTTTCTATAAATCTTATTATATCATTATCATATCATCACTTAATCTTTAAAAGGTTAACTTGTGTAGATAATCTGATAAGGATATCAGTACATTTTCTGATATTGTACTTGTTAAATATTAATTTACTATATAAAATATCACAGACAAATTATATTGTGTCATAATTAAAAAAATAAATATTTTGCAGGACTACACAGAGAAATATTTCGTTAAGAATAATTTCTCGTGTGGTAGTTATATTTTCCCTTCTTATAGTTGTTTACTTTTCGTCAAAAAATGACAAAGTGAAGACTTTTGCTAAACAATCAGAATTACTACCAGGCAAGGGCTTGGTTGTTGACTGTTCTCCATCATACAAAGAGGAAGTAGAGAAATATGAGGGTTGTGTTCCCAAGGAATGCAAAAGATTCATTACGGATAAAGTGATATCTGTGAGAGAAGCTGAAGAACTGCTGGCTATAGCAAAGAAAGGGCTTAAGCTAGGGGGCTCATCTGGTGGAGCCTCAATTCTAGATCTACACAGTGGCGCTCTTTCTATGGGACAGCACTTTGTCAACATTTACAAACGTGAGGATGCTAAACACATATTCAGTGAGACTGACTTCAATATTTATAGAGTAAGAATTATTTATATATTACATAAAATATTTAAAACTAAAAAGTAAATTAATAGCTTTATAACTATAACTTTTTTGGTGCAGGTAGTCAAAGAGAAAATTAAATATGCTGTGGCTCATCATTTTGGAGTAAAACCTAACAAAATATACTTGACACATCCAACATTTTTCTCTGAAATCACATCTAAGAAAGCAGTAACTATGCATGATGAATATTGGCATCCTCATGTTGACAAAGTATGTAGTTAAGAAATTGTAATATTTAAAATTACTTTAACACACAAATAGCAGTAACTGAAAACCACTAACTGATTAAACCCACTATTACTTATTTCAGGAGACATACAAATCATTCCATTACACAACTCTTTTGTATCTTGGTGATTACAACATAGACTTCAAAGGTGGAAGATTTGTATTTGTTGATGAGAAATTCAACAGAACAGTAGAACCAAGAAAAGCCCGTCTCAGTATGTTCACAAGCGGCCGAGAGAATTTACATTATGTTGAAAAGGTGACATCTGGCAACAGATATGCAATGACCATATCATTCACTTGTGATCAGCAATATGCTATACAAGACCCAAGTATAAATAACATATAAAATCTGACATTCCAATTGAATATTGTTTTATTTATTTCAAAGGTCCTATATTAAATGGCCGACAAACAAGTTTTCAAGACCGGAATGAAAAACGAAGTAATCGTGATTTGTTCACAGACTGCATATAATTATTATAGATCTATACTTCTTGGTCCTTGCACATTAACAAGTGTCGCAAACTGTAATGCCGAGCAAAAGTTTTAGGGTCGAACCTTAGTCGGGTAGCTTGCTTAAATATAAGATCACCACAAAATGTAGTCCCAGTCATTTTAGGCATTTTATACCCCAATCTGGGGAAAAATTCCTAGTGAGCTGAATTTTTGTATACACCATTATTGCGGCGTTATTATGAAGTTGTGAAAAATCGACATCGATATCGTGTCGGCTAAAAAAATTACAGAGGTCAAAAGGTCACGAAAATTTCGCGACCGTCCAACATCTAAATGTAAAATAAAAGATTTAGAGACATTTAAAACATTACTAAAAAGTAATAGAGTTTACGCCCTGGTCTACGGTATACAATACCATATGTGAGTGCATTCTTGCCGCTTTCTCAGCGCTATGATCCGAAAACCGTTAATTTTACAGAAAAACTATAAGAGACATTTTTTGTAGACAATTTTATGAGGAACAATTTTTATAATGACCTCTATTGACGTCCGAGCAATAGGTCGCGAATATTTGCAAAAATCTGATTTTCGAGACCTTTTGACCTCTGTAATTTTTTTAGCCGACACGATATCGATGTCGATTTTTCACAACTTCATAATAACACCGTAATAAAGGTGTACCTATACAAAAATTCAGCCCACTATAGTCAGACTTTTAATTCGATTCCTGATTTGACATTGACCACTGTCATTTTGTGAAATAATGATACCACATATAACAGTGTAGTGATGCACACAAAAATCGATAAACAATCAGTGAATCAGTTTCAGGAAGGCATTCAAAAAATTACGGCTGCCGAATGGTCTAAATGTGTATCCCATGTTTTCAAAGAAGAGGAAAAAATTAGTAAGCTGGATATGTTAATTGACAATAAATATCAAAGACACAATTCATAATAAATGTTACATAGAGTAACGGCGATAGCGATAGCGATGACGGCGACAATTTATAAAATGTCTGTTTTATGTGTCACGTTCCTTCATGATCACATTTTTTATTAATTTCACACACAATTACAAAAGAAAAGTCTCAGATCGTTAATTAATTGTCAAAACTAAATTATCGGTCCAGAAATATTTTATTTCCTGATAAACTTAGTTTACGAGAGTAAATTTATAAACGAGAGGAATCGATTCAGAAATATTCGATTTCCATATCGAATAATTTCGCAACGTCACTATTTATTACGTGTCATAACGTTGCAACACTGAAATTGTCAAATCTGGAATGGAATTAAAATTCCGAGTATAGGAATATTTCCCCAGATGAAACCTAAAATGACTGGACTAATGGCCTAAACGTAGTGCTTGGTTAGGTACATCTCTTTGAAATGGCCGACGGATTAGTGAAAGAAAGAGAACTGTACTGAGGGAGTGAGATGGCAATGGTCCGCCATTATTTACCGTGCAAACTCCCTACATTTTTATTTTTCTTCGAAGTCGCGCTAGACTGAATTTTGATAAAATTGTTACCCTTTAAACCTCGGGGTTGCTGGGGTAAGCGCAGAATTTTATAGCAGCCCTGGTCCGTGACAGGAAAATGAGCGGGGATTGTTTTTAACCGACTTCCAAAAAAAGGAGGAGGTTTTCAATTCGACCGTATATATGCTTTTTAGTCAGCAAGTAGATGTGTCTACGGACACTCCCCAATCTTCCAGCAGCCAAATGTAACAAGCATGTTTCAGCAATTAAAAATAATTATGTACATTTATTCGATTTGAAACTACCAATATTTAAATACTCATTGATTACCTACCTATCAATAATACTAAATTATTTTTTTTCTACCGGCAATGCCGACATTATTGACATTTTATGCTTGTAGCTGACTTCGTAGCGGTTGGTGGGTTGATATCAAAACAAAACATAGTCGCATCCGTGACGTTGTTGACATATTTTTTAAAAACAAAATATAAAACATGTCACAAATTTCATAGTTTTTGAAAAAAACTAAATTTCAGTGTAACTGGACCGTTCCAAGCGTATTTGATACTCGAAATTTTTGTTTGGAGAGTTACACTAAGGTATGTTAATCAATTGCTGCGCAAATTGTAATTTTGCCATACTTCGTTATCGGCTCCGTTTTCATTTCTCCAGTTTGCACGACCTTGGTTTAATACTTTAAGAGTTTGTTATTTATTTTATTAGATAATTTAAATGGACGGGTCTACAGTGGACCACAGCGATTCAGATTCTGGAGAGAGTTGGACTCTTTTGGAACATAGCCCTGCATATGAAGATGATGCTCCAGAATTTTCTGAAAATGTGTTACCTGAACAGTAAGTTCGTTAAGGCCTATTGTATCAATTAATATCATTAATCCACCTGGCATTTAGTTAACCCAGCCACCTGCAATTCAAATTCATCCTTGACCTTGACCTATTGTAAATTAGTTTCAAACTATTTCTTCACATTAACAAATTATAATTAACTTGTTGATTGCTTAAAATAAATTTATGGTGGTTATCTAATTTTTACTGGGTTCATTAAATCAGTCATTATATTTCTTGATGGTAATGTCAATTTGATAGCTGATAATTGTATTATTTTTACAGAGCTATTAATGATGCACATCTTGATAAAGATGATGACACAGATGGAATATCTGTCATCAGTGACAGTGAACCCGAATCATCAACACCTAGTGAAATGAATTATGAGAAATGTGTTAAAGATGAGAACCGTCCTACTGAAATAACAAATCCATTTAATTCGGTTAATCCACTTGCTCCCAATATTGAAAATCACCATGAATCTATAAGGTGTGAGAATAACTTTCTTGGAGAAAATACTGGTAAACACAAAACATATGTTCACAGAAGGAACAAAAGGCTCAGCACAGTACTCAATATTATTATGTTAGGGAGTGTCATTACTGCTGCAGGAGTAGCTATTGGACATATGTGGGGTGCTCGAAATGAGTGTTCAGTGCATACAACACCTTCAATTAACAAAATATTGTCCAATTTATATAAACTGCAAGAAGAGAATGCATATCTCCGAAATAAATTAAAAGAACTTACACTTGTGAGCAGCATACAAATGCAGAGAAAATTAAACGCAGAAAAGATACCATTTAAACAACAGAGATGCAAAAAGATATACGAGGAGCCTCTCAGCAGTAAAAATACTGAACAAATTACAAAATGCATAGATGACCATATCAACATTGAAAAAAATTTAAATAGTCATGTAATACAACCAGAATATGAAAAGGAATTTATGAGTGACATTGAGAAATTAAAAAATATTTACCAGCAAAATAAAAGTTGGTTAGATGATGAAGTAGCAAGAAGAATGAAAATTGAAGAACAAACATTAAAAAAAATTGTAAATAATATGAAAACACCATTAACAAGTATAATAGAAGAGCAAAAAGTAACACAAGATGAAAATCTCAAAGAGCAAACAGATTTAAATAGTATTGGTGATGCTGAACCAGTCAAAGGTGATAAGGTGATTCCAAATGAACCACTCATAGGGAAAAAGTTTACTTATGCGGACTCATTAAAATCTGGACATAAAATCCAAAAAAGAGATGCAAGTAGTAGCAACCATAAGGAAACCAAAGATCATACCATAAAACGAAAGAATAAAAAAGTTAGTGATGTGCTTTTAGACATTTTAAGTGAAGAAGAGCTAAAAAAAGATGATAGATATGTTGGGCCTAAACTTAAACAGGACTTAAAAAAAAGGGATAGACAAAAACTACACAAGAAACAGAAGAGAAGGAATAAGTATGAACAATGGGAAATGAAAGGAGGTTACTTGAAAGATTATGATGAATTTTCTATAACATCATCTCAAGAAAATGAGCTTGTTCTTAAAAAAACGGATCTAGATGTTTTTAGTCGAGATTTTGAAAAGAAAAACAATATAAGACAAGTTTCGGATATGGATGATAAGCAAAATAAATCAAACAATAAGAAAAGCGGAAGCAAGCTTTCGAAATCTGACAAAACTAGTAAAATAGTCAGAAATGATGATTTAAATTGGTTTGACAAGAGAGCTGTCCTGAGAACAGAAGCTCGGAAGAAACTGGAACGTGAACTATTTGGTGAGACAAGTCCCAACAATGCTGGTTGGTACTTCAGACGCATGCAAAGGCGGGAGCAATGCCGTGCTAAAGGCGACAACAGCACTCACAAGAAACTTTTTAGAAGGAACATGAATTATAAAATGAAACATTAATTCTGCAAGATTAGAATTAGTTCTGCAAGATCGTTATTTATGATCTAAAATTTTAACACTTACACTTAGGTGTGTAGAATTTAGAATTGTTGAGTCTAAATAAGTAACTTGACTATTTTGATTTCACGCTGTAACTGTCCGCGAGAAATATGAAAATATTAGAAACAGAAAATTATTTAAGGTCACCTTACAGCAATATAGTGCATTTTAGTTGTATTTTCCTCAGCACTATAAATATGGACACAAGAAAATTATGGTTTTAAAGTGCACCATATTTTTTTATATTTTATCAAGCAACCAATTTATTAAAATGTAAATTTAGTAATTCTGAATTGAATTATAAATAACATTTTTCGAAAAACTATTATATTAGGTATATTTATTCGAGTTGATTATGGTTCAATTATGTATATATTATGAAGAGTGTATAGCTATCATATTTTATTATACTTACCCTTATAGACTTACATCCCGTGATAATTTAAAGCAGTATTTCAAAATTACCAGGTAATAAATATATTTAAAAAGTTGTTTTAGTATTTATTTTAATGCTTCTCATAAAAGTAAATATTGACAATGGATTAATAAATCTATAGGTAATAATTATATTCATTGAAGTCCTAAGTTTCTTTCTTTAACAAACCAGTAAATTGAACATAACAAGGTATCTAAGGTATCTACATATTAAAGAATGAGAAAAGAAAAATACATCACTGACATTGTTACAATTCATTTCCTTGGTTTTATAATGTGGGTATAATTTAATCATCTCCAATTGCTCCACTGAAGACAAGGTTTATAGCAGCATTAACATCGCCTGGAAAAGGGTTACGATTGAATAAAAAGGCTGGCATTAATATAAATCAATATTTTCATTTTGCCTTGGCCAAGGTTTTAAAAATTAGCATAATTAATATTAGGATATTGGCGCGTACCTGAACAAATAAGCAATGCACGTATATTTAAAGCATCGTCGAGCAAACCCATTTCGTGCATGTGGTTGAGTTGCGTTGAGAAATCTTGACCACCTTCCCTCGCCACCGGACTTTGTGAAGATGACGCTGTAAGATATATATTTTTTTCTCAGTTTGCTAGTTAACTTTGTTGCCAATCATTATATTTTTGCGAGAAATATCTAATACATAAATTGAAGCTAGAGAGTTAATTTGAAATCTTGAGTTTTTGGTACTACTGGTTACAATTATTCAATGCTTTTTGTGTTGGATCGTATATATTTCGAAGAAGGTTATACGCCAGGGATAGCGAACGTTGAGTATGCATGCCAAACCACAATATTTCGGTCAAATCACTTTTACCACCAATAACGTACTTAAATTTATTTGCAACTAATAAACTAAGGGTCTCGTTGGCTGCCTCCTTTTCTGCAAAATAGTCATGCTCGCTAGGAGCAGACGAAGAGGTCGGGCCGGTATCCGCCGTAGAAGACGTTCAGGGCGTTTGGAGTTCGAGAGCCCTTCAGCCACCATAGGCGCAGGTTTGATTATAACTAGCGGATGCAAGCGCAATGATGTAACCGCGCCCAGCACACGGTGAACAAGTATAGAACAATTTCTCTGTATAGGGCCATACTGCCGGCTGCAGTATGGCCCTCCCATAATGCAAAATCATATTTATAACGTCAATAATTACAAACAAAAATGGCATGTCGTACGTTAAGGTTTGCCATCCCCGTTGTATACGGCATACGGCAACGGCAGCGCGTCGAAACACGTCTATGTAGCTATTGGCTATTAATAAATGGTAAAAACGAAAAATGAGTGTTATTTACCAGCTGTGCTCTGATCCATTGGAGTGCCGGCAGTGTTCCTTGCGCTACCTGCTCTATTCATAGCTTCTGAGATCGCCTCACTGAACATCTCCGGTGTTATCAGGGGGCGTGTGGAACTGGAACCTGAATTATACACAGTATATAGTAAAATTTAAGTGAGTGGTCCTCGCCAGCTAATTATAGAATCACTAAATGTGTAAATAGTTACATCTTTTACTTAAATCGTACTTTTACAGGCGAAACCAGTGCAAAACTGTGTTTCTAACCGCAACTAGCCAATTCGTCTAATTTCATTCGAATCGCCTCAGAGTAAAGCTTAAGAGATTATTCTACTAAGTTCGGGTTAGTTATAAAAAACTTAGTATATTTGTTGAACGTGGCGTACCTACGCCAGTGGGCGTGCCAGACTCTGTTGCTGACGAGGTGGTCCTGCTGGACTCGCCGGCAGATTGGAGCAACCTCAATAAGCTGTCGTTACTTCCTGCAGCTCGACTGCTTGTAGACGACACGGCTTCCGTCGCAGCCTGAACCAGAAAATATATTTTTTTATTACAATAACCGAAAGGGCCAACGGCACACTTCAACAGTCTTGGCTAAGGGTGGCGCCGATTGTCGACGGATGATACTTCTACTCGTTTGCCAAAACATTTATTAAAAATATTCTTAATGCAAAATGTGTTGACTGTTATAAATTTTTGACAGAAACCAGCATTAAAATAAAATTGATCAATAACTGTAGATTTTAATTGAGATTGTTTTATTTAGTTAAACCTTTACTCAAAGAAAGGAAGGATTTACTATAATCACTTAAAATACTTAAATTGAATAAAGACCTGTAGGGCAGCAGCAAACTGCTCATGAGTGATGGGGTTCCTTTCACCTTCCTCATTTTCTTCCTCGTCTGCATCTTCATCCTCAGACAATGCTTCCAATGAATATGCAAATCCTGAAGTTGGCACTGAAAAAATATTAACAATATTTGTTACAGATATAAATATATAGTAGTATATTCAACGTGTGTGTGTGTGTGTACTAGCTGGCCCGGCGAACTTCGTACCACCTTAGCTTTAGTTTTACTGACTTTATTTTACATCTATAAATGAAGATGCCAATGCTTTCCGTGGGTATATTCCTAAATCTGCTGTACATGAAATTATTCACACCTCTCTTTTGCCTCTTAAAGTTCAATAAAAAATAATAATATTTTAACACCTTTATTTTTTTGGCTTTAGTTCTTAAGTTTTCTACTTAAGTCTATTAGTTCTTCTTTTAGCAAAAACCAGCCTTATTTCAGCAAAGAATACTGAAATAAGGATGTGTTATTGCTATTTTTTAACCAACTTCATGTTATTTTGTGTTTATTTTTTAACTTTTGTTTTTGTGTTTTGTCTATCACATTAGATTTGGATAAAACTGTAATGTTATAGTAGATTATAAATAAATAAATTAATTAATTAACTAAAACTTTAATAAAATTACTAAAAAAATTAAATATTTCCTTTCAGTTCTAATGTATATATTTTTTTAAGTGACTGCAAAATCTACAATAAACTATAAACTGCTCTAAAAACAAAAAAAATGTGAAGTAATTTTGTATTACCACATGTATGTGGTATGTACATACCACTTTCATTAGAAGAGCTTGTATTAGATCGTGAACGCACGAGTCTCGTCAGGTGTCGCAAAGCTGCCGGTAGCTGAGGGTGAGCTGTAGCTCCTCGGCGCATTGTATGGATGTTTGCCCCTAAAGCCGCTAACAGTTCCACCTCATGTAGAATAGATAGTGCCACACAGTCCTCTCCAATGGATGGTGCTTGCTCAATAATCTCAGCCATTGCAGATTCGTCATTTAATAGCTGTAATTGAGATTAAATACCTATAATAGTGTTTAAAAAAAATATGTTTTATGTTTTAATGGCAGTTGAGACTGTTTATCTCAAACTACAATCAAAATAAAGACTGATAAAGAGGTTTCCTATTTAAAAATATAAAATGACAAATACCAATAAGTACCTACATACCTGCATTGCTCTTGTCCATCCAGGAGCATTGGGCGTACACCCCAATGTCCTCAAAGATGTGTTGAGCTGTTGCAGCTCTGCATCCAAATATGTAGGTTGTGGGGCTGGCGCAACCTGTACTTTCTTCTTGACCACATGGATCATCTCGCCATTCTTTACACCACTATCTTGAAGAGTGACATCGTCTTTCAAAATTTTCCCATGGTGTATTAGTTCTAAAAATTTCAACATATATTTTTAATCTCAATAAATGAGTTTCCAATTAGTATTTAAGTACTCACTTATACTTTATACTGCTTCATATCTACAGTTTGTAGATGGATGAAAGGAAATGATATTGGAATAAATTTAAAATATACAGGGTGTAAAAAGACACTTAACAAAGCCGAAAGCCACGTATTCTACCCATTATTTGGAGCATTTTTTTCTTTAAGACCATAGCTGGGACTCCACGGGTTCTCGAGATATTGAAGGTCAAAGATGCATTTTTATTTTTGTTTTTTTTTGAGCAATCGAATTCTATGTATTATTACAAAACTTTTTTCCAAACAAACATTACCTGAATTTTCGATTTTTCTAAATAAATTACGCACTTGAAGTTACGAACAGTAATGTACGTAATAAATAAATGCAGTTGCAGACCCGCACAAAAAACATCGTGCATCTCAGTAGGATTTTTGTTGTTGCGAAGTAAAACGTCGACCTACGTACTTATCGCAGCGTTTTAATGCTAAGCTGTGAACCTACGCACACAATGACACGAAGCCCGTTTGCTTTACATTGAAGCAATAAAATTATATATTTTTTTTTGATACCTAAAAATAAAAGTCGTTTCCCCGTGATAATTTTAGCGTAAAGCTTCTTCGTTAGAACTGCAGTATGCATAGTTAACGGCTTCGTTAAGTGTCTTTTTCACCCTGTATAATAAATTAAATGAATGCACAAGATACTGTGGGAGAAACTCATGAATGTTGTTAATTTTTCTTGTTTTTTGTTGTTCATGTTGGATAAAATCCATAATATTGATTTAAATTAGCATAATAGAATATTATAAGTCTGATTTCAAATCACACGGGTTCCTTTCATGAAAGCCAGTAAGCTTTGTCCTATTACATAGGATAATGAGAAAGCTAGTGACATTGTCTTAATTGTTTCTATGTATTTTTTTTATTGTTTTATTGATACAGCAGCAATCAATTAATTGTGAATACAGCCAGCCAGCTTGCCAGCCTTTTGAGAAGTTTTAGGGATGGAGATGAAACAGGATTGTCCGTAGGAAAGTGAGGTTACAGTAGGCCCAATCCTGCTATGTTATGTTGTGCCCACCATAGCAAAAAAAAGCAGTTTCACATTCCGTCTGTTTTGGTTTTCCGTTTTTCTTTGAGGCTGTACTACAGCTGCTCATGAACCCACAACTCCAGAGGACTAACAACTTTTGGGATTACGGTTTTGGGGATTTAGGAATGGGCGAGGGGAAGAAGGATTGGGCCTACAGTAACCTCACTAACATGGCGAAAAAAGGTGATAATAAATAATTATTGATTACCAGTCTCACGCCAGTTTTCTGTAAGGCTTTGGTTCAAGACTACAGTTAAGCCGACCCATATAGGTTGTGTCATAATGTAGCTGTTTCACATTTTATAAAAAAATAAATTCCTTACCTAAGGAAGCTGATGGTACATTTGTTTTCTTTTCTGCTTCATTTTTAAGACTATCAACAGTATTGTCTAATGCAAAGTTTTCAATTTTACATCTTTCTATTGGACCAGGCTTTATCTTAATGCCCAAAAATATGCATGGATTGTCCATAGTTATTTTAATGAAACCTGAAATAACATACATCTCAAAGTTAATTACCATAATATCTCCTCCTTACTCATGGTGGGTGGAACTAAATCTACTAAGTACTACTTTTCTATGGTCCATGTCATAGGTGACTGACAAAAAATTATCAACATTAAAATTGATCAACAGTTTAACTGAATTATTTTGTAAGTATTATTGGAAGATTTTAAAACATTAGGTAATTTATATAATATTCGAACACACGAAGTGTTAATAAATTAGTTTCTAAAAGAAGCAAAAGGTATAAACAAAATGCAAATGATGTTTTTTTTCATTGCATACTTACAATAAAATTATTTAGATGTGTTTCACACTTTATTAAAATAATATGCTCCAACAGTAATATGTTCTTTTAATCTTATTTACAGTAATGTACACTGTCTGCCGACTATTGTATTTTGATTCGCAGCATTTCTGTTTCTGATTTTTCGCCCGTCATCATAATCATACCTATTCTTTGTATCTTCTTTTATAGGGATGTGAAAAATAGACTAAAGGAAATAAAATTTTTACTCGATTCTACTACAACCACCAATTTAAAATTACTGATCGTACACATTGTACAAGAATACATAAAAAAACTCTTATTATTACGTGAACTCATATTAACATACATATATTAACTTCAAAAGAGGACTGTGAGGTCTGTGAAGTCGTTTATAGGGATGTGAAATGTATATTGCGGAAACATTTCCTGTGGGCCCCAATTTTTTCCAGTCGAAAGTGTTGAGCTCCGGTGGGCCCCTGGGGGTCCGTCTAGGCCACTTTTGGAATCAATGTTCTTAAATTTAAAATGACAACAGCGTAAGGAAAACTCTATTTTTCCAATGAACAAAAATCTTAAGGGTCTACCGAAAATCTTTCAAAGACAATAATAATATAATATCTTTACAAAATGTTTTTTTTTTTATTTCCGATCCTTTGGTCGGTTGCTCTTTAGTAAAGAGTAAAGTGAATTTTAATTTTATGGGTATTTCAGCCGGAGTTGCGGTGTCACCGCAATGAGGCACCGCGACCTCGGCCCAGAGCAGAAGAAGGAACAGGGGGGGGGGGTTAGTCAATAAGAGTCTGACACTCCCACCCTGGCCCTGATGATTTGATGATTTTCCCATCCAAAAAAAAAAAAAGTTTATGGGTATTCATGATCCATCGTATCAATCAAATCAATCATCGTATCAATCAATCTCTAAAAGTATATTACTATAATCTATGGTATCAATCGTATATGTTATGTCACTGTCACTAATTACGCAGATATCTAAAAAAATATTCAATGTGAAAAATGGTGTTATCGAAATGATTTCCGTGAGGTCTGGAAACGTGAGAAAATCAAATGAAGGCTTATTGCTACTAACATCTTTAAAAGTTGATAAAATGACTTGAAAATGAAGGAGGAATCTAATGCAATTTTGGAGGCTAAAGTTGCCGAGCGCAATGAACGTGCCAAAAAACTTTATCGGTGAGTTATTTGCTTAACCCGTTAGAGATATCAATTAAAACGTGAGAAACATCTTGTAAGTTATTAAAAAAGCGGGTCAAATGTGACTTCCGGATATTGAATTTTATTAAACCAATTTTCCCAGTAATATGTAAAAACAAGTTATTGCTTTTGTCATCATAATACATAGTAGTTATGTCGGAAACGCACAAATTGAAAATCTGCAATCGTTGTTTTCCAATACTCTTGCATTTACACCAGCAAAGTTATCTTGTTTAAGTCTAATTTTTCAATTGAAATTGAAACATGTGGAATGTTTTCAAATGATTATTTCATATTTTTTCTGGTAACTTAATATTCCAAAGTACTACAATTTTACATAAACCTAAGTTTTTTATTGTGATGTATTTTATTGTTTAAATTACAGTTATGTCAGTGACGTAGCCAGACGTGTTGGTGAAATGACAACTGCCAGTTGCTCCATGACTGACCTTTTCTCTACCAACCTTGAAGTCCAGCGACAAAAACTAAGAGATAACTGTGAAAAGCTGTTATTTCTTGATCCTATCAACTATGGCAAGAAATCACTAGAATTGCTCTGGCGGAAAGTCTACTATGAAACTGTATCAACAGCAAAAAAGCTTAGAGAATCTGACAATGATAATGATAGCTACCTATTTACACATATTGTTTGTGGAATTGGCCACTTTCACCACTTTATATCAAGAATAGAAGGTGAAATGAAGATTCATGTTAAAGAAATAGATTATACATCTTACTACTTTGGTGAAGAATCTGTTGAAGCCAATCAAATGCCAACTGATGATGAAATCCAACTGAGTCGGTCAGTTTTGCACTTATGCCTCATATATCTTGGAGATTTGAGTCGCTATCAAGTAGAAATATTTCGTGCTTTTGAACCATCTATAGCAGCTCGTTATTATCTTCAAGCTGCACATGTTGACATGTCTTCAGGAATGCCATATAATCAGTTAGGTAACTTGTACAATGACAAAAATTACAATTTAGATTCAGTTTGTTACTATATTCATTGTTTAAGTTGTACATCTCCATTTGAAGGAGCAGTTGGCAATCTTACAAAAATATTTGAAAAAAATGCTCAATATTATGATTCCCCTAGTAATCCGGAATCTCTAACTCAGGCAGAACATATACAAAACATCATAACTAATTTTCTTTCCTTAATCGAAATTTGGTACATGAATAAAAATGATACTAATATTCCTCAAAGATGCAGCACTATTGCTCATGAATTAAAAGTAGCTATGGACTTTATAAAACCTTCACTACCTGATATGGATAAAAACTATAATGAGTATATTCAGGCAATTGAAGAAGAAGGGACAAATCCATCTTGTCTAAATGCACATCTGGTGCATAAAATTGTTCTCATCTGTTTGTTTACAATAACCAAAGTATCAGAGGCAGATGAAGTGAAAGCTTTTGCATGTAAGGCTTTTACTTTAGCACTTCTGTCCCAGCTCCTGCAAAAGTTATTACAACAACTAGAATCCCTTGGTCTTAAGAATCCTGCATATAAATACAAGTCAAAAAGTACACTGCACATCCCAAGTGCCAATAACATTTCAGAACCAATTGCAAAAAGTAATTCTGGTGTTGCAGAAGATCTCCCAGATAATACAAATCTTGATGAAAATGTGGAATGCTCACCAAAAAATGATAATGTAGTCGAGAATAAAGAGATAAATACTAATGGCGATTCTAAAAGTAACGTGAAAAAGTCTTTAACAAAACGGCGACGTCGAAGGCGTCTAGCTTCATCAGATAGTTCTGATATGAGTGATGTAGATACAGAAAGTAGTGATGTTGAAGTTTATGAGTCGTGCTCTGACGAAGAAGAAGATTTATCAGATTCTACTGGTCACTCAGATGAGTCTGTTAGTGATGATTCCATTTTCGATGTTTCTGATGCTGAAGAAACAATTACTAAAAATAATGGCGATATTGCAATAGAAAACAACAAAGATTTCAATAAAGATGCTACTTTGAATGGTGACTTAGAAACTAAACTTCATAACACTGACAATGAATTTCAATATAATAGTTATAACAACAATATTTTGGATGTTCAGGGCTTACAAAACTTTTTGCTTGGTGATAACTTTTTGTCCAGTATCAAGTTACTTCAGGACTGGGCATTAAATGAAAAAGATTTAATTCTATCTTGTGGAGACAGTGGAGAGTCTCTTTTTCAATGTGTTGTAGATTTGCTCAATATATTGACATTTTATTTTAAACCTAAATCAAATGAAAATAGCGATTGCCATATTTTACAATATGCACGTAGTGTGGCAAAAAAGTTAAAATTGGAATACAAAACCATTCCTTTGCCAGAAGACATCAATTTACGTGGAACCACCATCTGCAAATATGACAAAGATGCTGCAGAATGGCAAATGTTAGAGAAATACAAACTTTCATTTTATGAAGAAAATATTGTAAGAATACTAACTTTCATAGACTTTGGAAGTCATGTCGCAAAAATAATACCTAGAATTAGATTCAACAGAACATTAAAAATATTTTATTTCAAAAAGATAACACCACCTAAAGTAACAACCAAAATAAATCACAAGCGAAGCAAAGAGTGGCACAACTCAAAAAAAACCCATGTAAGTCATCAATCATGTGCAAATATTTTCTTACTTTTACATTTACTTTCTACAAATTACAATTACAAATTTAAAACTAAATGATGGCAATAATCATAAAATAATGAGAAATATTAGAAAAACTATCTATACCATGTACCTATTTTATGCGTTTTTTTTTTTTTGTATAGGTCGAATCAAATGAAGGTGGAGGATTATTGCGGCGCCTTGGGCATCTTTGGCTGGCGTCACAGGTGCGAGAACTAGAACGTAGTGGCCAAGCGCCTGTACCTGCTTTGCTTGCTCTCGACACGAACGCCCTGCACAAACATTTGCGTCGTGTCAAGCAACTGCTGCGTGCTCGTAATTTTGTTCTTCTGATACCCACAGTTGGTAAGAATTTCTTATTAAATTACATTTATAGGTATATACCTATATACAAAAATCAATGCCACTTCGTTTTAATGCTATAACTCAATAATACCTTGACCAATTCGGCTAATTTTGGTCTTCAATTGTTCGTGGAAGACCAGAGAATATTTGTACGTAGAGAAAATTAAAAAAATACTTGAAAGTGTAAAATTGACATTCACATGGACAGAGTCGTGGACAACCACTTGTAGGTTTATACATTTTTCTATAATCTTCAAAGAAAGTGTCAAAGTGTACCAGTACATATTATAACATTTTTGCATATTCAAAATAGTATACATAAAATTGTTAACCTATTTATTAATGACAATGGGACCAAATGGCAAGTATACCCTATCGAATAAAAAAAGAATTTTCCAAATCGGTCCAGGCGTCTTCGAGAAATCGGTGTACATAAATAAAAAAAAAAAATACGCGTCGAATTGAGAACCTCCTCCTTTTTTGAAGTCGGTTAAAAAAAACTAATGTGTTGAAATACAAATGTTTCATTTAAAATATTTATAGATTTTTTCATAGAAAATTATATAACACTAGCTACTCTCGCGCAGTTTCACCCGTTGCTCGGCTCCATTTAATCGTAGCGTGATGATTTATAGCCTATAGCACTCAGGAACATTGTAGCTATGTATCAGTGAAAGAATTTTGAAAATCCGACCAGCGGTACCAAAGTTTTTTTTTTCTTAAAAAAACGTTGCCCCACACTAGTATTTTCTCCTGTGTCGTGGGTGCGTTTACAAACATACAATTTCACATGCACATCACACCCAGCCCCTGAACAACAATCTGTGGATCACACAAAGAGTTGTTCCGTGCGGGAATCGAACTCGCGACACGTTGCGCGGCAGCCAGTTGCCCAGCCACCGCGCCAACCGTGCAGTCCAAAGATTACCCCCTACATACAAACTTACAAATTTTACCTCTTTATAATATTAGTATAGATCTATTGTATGGAATAATCTGTCAAA